GTTCATTTCTTTATCATGACTTGCATCTTCTATTTTGCTCAAAAAGTCATCTTAGTAATAAACTGTATTTGTGCTCTTAAAACATAGGTTTTTAATTTCTTTCTTCAGATAGGGTCTCGCTCTCTTGCTCAGGCTGGAGTGCAGTGGTATGATCACAGCTCACTGCAGCTTCAAGCTCTGGGCTCAAGTGATCATCCCACCTCAGCCTCCTGGATACCCAAACTATAGGCATGCACCACCATGCCTGGCCAATTGTTTTATTTTTAATAAAGATGGGGTATTTCTATGTTGCTCAGGCTGTGTTTATAGTATTAAAAGTAAAAATGAGTTTTTAAAAGTAAAAACCTATCCCCAAAGCTCTACTTGTATACCAAGTAAAATTCTCTGTGTAACTGTATATATTTTATAAAAATTGTCCATTGTAAGGTTAAAAAAAAAATTAGGATTTTAAAAAATCATAATCAATAATAAATTTCTTAGAATAGTTTACTTATTCAGTAGACCATTCTCTTTGTTTAAACAAATTATCAACTTGCTGTGGGAAACTCATTTTACTTTATAAATGAAATATAAACTAAATAATAACTGCTAACTATATGTCAGTTAAGGATAATCAAGTGTGTTATAAACCCCTTTCCTTTGCGAAAGCCACTTTGATTTTCAGCAGAGCACATAGATTTGTGTGTTTATGTTGTTGCACCTGGAGTATAAATTTAGTCATCATGTATTTAATGAGAATCTACTATAAGAAAGTGTGTGTATATGGCATAGAGGAGCCCATTTTCTGTGAGTAGAGATGGTTGGGATGCAGTTTTCCTGAAGACAAAGCTTTGTAGATGCCAACTGAATGCTATAAAACTGTGATTAAAAAAAGGAAGTATCACTTCTAATACAAAAGCAGTCTGGGAAAGTCACTTTAATGATTTGTAGACTGTTTCACAGGCAATTTAGAGATCAGAAACTGAGTTCTGGGAAGTAGCATGCCCAAGGCCACACTAAGAACTACTTCATCACAAAAACCAGACAGGAATATAGAACTCCTAAGTGTCAGGCCATTGTTCTTTCCACTCACCACAGAGATAGAGCATTTGAACTGACCCTTGAATAGGCAAAGATGGGCAAAAGAGGGAATGATTACTCCAGGCCATTGAGTGGGATCAGAAATCATAGTAGGTAGTTGAGAACTGCTATTGAGAATAATAACACAGGTAAATTACAGCATGAGTTCTTGCTTTACCCTATAACATAGAGTTATATGGGGAAGAAACGTGAGAGAAGACTTTTAAAAACCTAGGTTAGAGGCCAGGCACAGAGGCTTACACCTATAAAGCCCAACATTTTGGGAGGCTGAGGCAGGAGGAATGCTTGTGCCCAGGTGTTTGAGGCCAGCCTGGACAGCATAGAGGAACCCACCTGTCTCTACAAAACAAAATACAGAAAATTAAACAGGCATAGTAATGTGTGCCTGTAGTCCACCTCACTGAGGTGGGAGGATCGCTTGAGCCCAGGAAATTGAGATTGCAGTGGGCCATGGATCATGCCACTGCACTCTAGCCTGGGTGACAGAATGAGACCCTGTCTCTAAAGAAAAAAGAAAAAAACCTAGGTTGGAATCAGGTACAGAGCATTGTGAATGCCATGCTACATACTGCGGCTTTTGTTCAATAGAAAACAAGGAGCCATTAAGGTGTTACTTAAGATTTTATTGATTACCAGTTTTAGTTTTATTTCCAGATAATGTCATTACATATTTGCAGATTAATTTTTTGCAGGTCCATTTACAGTCAGATTTTGTCCTTCATTCCTCTAAGAATGCATCAGATAAACATACTTTTAAAATATATGTACAGGGAAAGTCTTTCCTATAAATCCATCTATCTGGTATGTGATAAGCTCAGTAGATCCAAATTGTAGAGAACCCAGTAATAAGAGATAAACTTTACCAGATAAAAATAATCCCCCTGCAGCTCATCAAGGAAGATACTAGGAGCTACTTTTTCTTAGGTACCAAACATATGTGAGTTAATTTTATTCTTAGAATTTGATGATCTGTTTCTCCTTACCTGAGGTTTGGGAGTCCCTAAGTCCCTATAATTTTGTTCTAGGTTAAAAGAAAGAACAGAAGATCTAAACAGAGGATATCAAATGGAAAGGAGGTGTAGATGGGGAAACCAGTTGGTGGTTATAGAAGTAGACCCACTAATAGGGATGAAAAGCTTCAGTGAATAAAGGGAGATAAACATAGATGGCCATAAAAGAGAGTGAATAAAATTAAACCAAAAGAGCACAACAGTTTGGAGTCATTTACAAAGTGATCCTTAAAGTAAAATACATTTGTATTACAGTATAGTCTGGTAGTAATTGTTCACAGCAAAGACCCTGTATCATATAGAACAGGTTAAATTATGTCTTGAATTTGGAATGCAGAAAAACATAAAAATTGTCTTAGAAACCATCTTATACAAAACTTAACCCTTCAAATATCAAACTAAAATTTCTGTGATCTATAAAATCTACTTATCTAGAATTCCTCTTTTTCCAATTAAGCTAGAAATGAGGAATAATTATATTTGCATATATTATGGTTCAATATAAATGAGCTGCTCTGCATTTGGGGCTTAGGACACACTAAAATGGCTGTTATTTTAGTGTGTCTTAAGCTTCAAATGCTGAGCAGCTCATTTATATTGAACTCATCTCCATGAGACTTCTGTGTGGGCATATTGTAAGAAAGATTTGAATGCTGCCCTGCCCCTCCAGATCACTGTCCCCCGGATTCTGAAGTTGTTTGCTCACTAAATGGGAAGGTCATTGTTCTAAGCTCTGTATCTGCATATGCTACAGTGGGTACCTTCTGAGAAAAAAAGTAAATGTGGTATCATGAAAATGGCACCAAATTTCATACCAAGTAGCTATGTAGCTTTAAACATATCCCCTAACATCTCCTATAGGGAATCAGTAGATAGTTTCATGAGATCCCCTTCAGCTGCATGTTGTAAAAAGCAATATTGTTCAGGAAGAAAATCTTACTAGAGCAGAGAGGTTAGATGTAGTTAGTAGAAATAGAATATATTAATAGGGAGACACTGGAAAAATCGTCTTCTTTTGAGAAGTGTGTTAATATCTTTCACCCACTTTTTGATGCTTTTTTTTCTTGTGTTTCTTGGCTGTGTAAATGTCATCTTTTGAGAAGTGTCTGTTCATATCATTTGCCCACATTTTGATGGGGTTGTTTTTTTTCTTGTAAATTTGTTTAAGTTCCATGTAGATTCTGGGTATTAGCCCTTTGTCAGATGGATAGATTGTGAAAATTTTCTCCCATTCTGTAGGTTGCCTCTTCACTCTGATGATAGTTTCTTTTGCTATGCAGAAGCTCTTTAGTTTAATTAAATCCCATTTGTCAATTTTGGCTTTTGTTAACATTGCTTTTGGTGTTTTAGTCATGAAGGCTTTGACCATGCCTATGTCCTGAGTGGTATTGCCTAGGTTTTCTTCTAGCGTTTTTATGCTTTTACACTGTTAGTGGGAGTGTGAATTAGTTCAACCATTGTGGAAGACAGTGTAGTGATTCCTCAAGGATCTAGAACCAGAAATACCATTTGACCCAGCAATCCCATTACTGGGTATATATCCAAAGGTTTATAAATAATTCTACTGTAAAGACACATGCACACAAATATTTACTGCAGCATTGTTCACAATAGCAGAGAATTGGAACCAACCCAAATGCCCATCAACGCTAGACTGGATAAAAACAATGTGGCACATATACACCATGGAATACTATGCAGCCGTAAAAAAAGATGAGTTTATGTCCTTTGTAGGGACACAGATGAGGCTGGAAACCATCATTCTGAGCAGACTAACACAGGAACAGAAAACCAAACACTGCATGTTCTCACTCATAAGTGGGAGTTGAACAATGAGAACAGATGGACACAGGGAGGGGAACATCACACACTGGGGCCTGTTGGGGGTGGGGGCTAGGGGAGGGATAGCATTAGGAGAAATACCTAATGTAGATGATGGGTTGATGGGTGCAGCAAACCACCATCTCACATGTATACCTGTGTAACAAACCTGCACGTTCTGCAGATGTATCCCAGAACTTAATGTAAAATAAAAAAAAAATGAGAAAATTGAGGATTAAAAATGTTAAATACCAATTATATGTGAGAGCCATATTTCAAATCCAGATTTGCTCCATGTTTCAGAGCCTAACCTCTTAACTGCTGTACTGTGGTTAGAAATGGTTGCATGGTAGAAGCAGGAATCAAGTAGAATCTTGATGAACAGATAAGATTTGTATAAGTGAAAAAGCAGAAGGAAATAAAACGACCTCAGGAAAAATAACATATGGAACCACCTTGATTATAGCAGGACATTACCAGAGCATTTTTTAAATTATTTGAGTTGAGGTGCAACAAATTAATTATGCATGAAAATATTAAGAAAAATTCTACCAGCAAAAAGAGGATGAATATGATGGAAAAGTGATTGAAATCAGGGAGACCCCTTAGGAGACTTTATTTATAGTAACCCACAATGACTGAATAAAAACTGAACTGGAGGGTGACCTTGGGAATGGTGGAGAAAAGTTATATCGAAAAATCAAGTGAATCAAGTGAAAAATTGGTCAGAATTTGATTACAAATTAAACTGAGAATTAGGAAGGGGAGCAAATCAAAGATCTAACCACAGTTTTGGTTTTGGAAGAGGGTAAGGATGGAGAAGAGTGGAAAAAGCAGGATAGCAAAGGATGGTAAAACCTTGTTGACTTTATTTTCCACATAACTGTTCAAGTGGAGTGTTCTGTTAGCATTTTGTGATACAGACTTGGAGTTTAATGCAAAAACAGGAATAGAGAAATTTGAAATGTTGGCAACTTTTATATACTCCCTTTATGCTTCCAGCCTAGTTTCCTCCCGTCCAGACTTAGACATTTTTTATTAGCCAACTGTGCATTAAGATAATACCATAAATCTGTTTCTACTTTCCAGAAAGAAATTCTGGAACAACAGCAGCAAGAACGAAATGATACCAATTTTCATGGCATTTGTATATTTTGCAATGAAGAATTCCTTGGAAACAGGTTTGCCACTATGCATCTTTAAATGTTACTGTTTTTAATTTGAAAATTCATCAAAACATTCCTGTTGGTTATATAAATTAAGTTCTATGTGTTGGCTCAGGACCCTTTTGTATACAAGCAGTACTTTAAAAAAATATGCCCAATATCAAAGATGGACTGTAGTTGCTCTAAGCAGTGGAGGGGAATAAATTCTTAAAATGACAGAAGCAGATTTATGTTTGATATTGTAGGGCTTTTTAAATTAGCTGACCAGCAAGACCAGTAGTATGCAACAAACTACTACAAAGCCACCTCTGTATACTAACTTGTTTCCTCTAAATCATTGCTAACTTTTCACTTTTGATTATTAAAAATAAAGACGTAAAAAAGAAGTGGGGGCATTGGTGGTTGTATCGCCAACCCCAGCTGAAGCTCTGACTCTAGTGGGTTGCATAGCCAGTGCCACAGTCTGAGATGAACCCTGAATGATCCAGCCCAGTGGAGGAAGGACACAACCCACCACTAGAGGGGTGGGACTGGGCTACATGTTTTAACAAAAAACACAGGAAGCCTACAGTAGCAAAGAGACAGTATTCTTGACAACCCAGGAGCGCCTACAGGTCAGCGGAAGAGGAGGCCCTAATTTCCCAGAATAAACAAAAAAGACGCTGGAAGCTTCCCTAGTAACCTGAAGGAGTCCCTAGAAACCCAGTAGCGCCCCCACAGGCAGACAAGCAACCTCATCAAGCAGCTCTCTGACACCACAGCCAGGTAAGTCCACAAAGATGGGAAAAAAGCGCAAAAAAGGTGAAACCATCAAAGACCAGAACACCTCTTCTCCTTCAAGGGATCACACTCCTCAACAACACAGGATTACAACTTGACCCAGAAGGAGTGCAGAGAATTGACGGAAACAGGATTTAGAAGGTGTATAATAAGAAACCTTTCAGAGCTAAAGGAACACATTCTAACTCAATACAAAGAAACCAAAAACCTTGAAAAAAGGTTAGATGAAATGCTAACTAGAATAACCAGCTTAGAGAAGAACATAAACGACTTGATGGAATTGAAAAACACAGCATGAGAACTACGTGAAGCAAACACAAGTTTTAATAGCCAAATCGATCGAGCAGTGGAAAGGATATCAGAGATTGAAGATCAACTCAATGAAATAAAAAGAGGGAAGGCAATACAAGAGAAAAAAGAGTGAAAAGAAATGAAAAAAGCCTCCAAGAAAGATGGGATTATGTGAAAAAACCTAATCTACACTTGATCAGTGTACCTGAATATGACACAGAGAATGAATCCAAGCTGGAAAACACACTCCAGGATATTATCCAGGAGAACTTCCCAAGCCTAGCAAGGCAGTCTAAATTTCAAATTCAAGAAATACAGAGAACTCCACAAAGATATTCCTCAAGAAGAGCAACCCCACGGCATATAATCATCAGATTCACCAGGGTCGAAATGAAGGGAAAAATGCTAAGGGCAGCCAGAGAGAAAGGTCAGGTCACCCACAGAGGGAAGCCAGTCGGACTCAACAGATCTCTCAGCAGAAACCCTACAAGCCAGAAGAGAGTGGGGGCCAATATTTAACATCCTTAAAGAAAAGAACTTTCAACCCAGAATCTCATATCCAGCCAAACTAAGCTTCGTAAGTGAAGGAGAAATAAAATGCTTTACAGACAAGCAATTATTGAGAGATTTTGTCACCACCAGACCTGCCCTACAAGAGCTCCTGAAAGAAACACTAAGCATAGAAAGGAACAAGTCCCAGTCACTGTAAAAGCAAACCAGTTGGCAAAGACCAAAAATGCAATTAAGAAAATGAGTCAACTAATGAGAAAGAAAACCAGCCAGTAACAAAATGGCAGGATCAAATTCACACATAACAGTATTAACATTGAATGTAAATGGCCTAAACGCCCCAATCAAAAGACACAGACTGGCAAACTGGATAAAAAGTCAGAACCCATCAGTGTGCTGTATTCAAGAAACCCATCTCACATACAAAGACAAACATAGACTCAAAATAAAGGGATGGAAGAAGATTTACCAAGAAAATGGAGAACAAAAAAAGCAGGGTTGCAATCCTAGCCTCTGATAAAATGGACTTCAAACCAACAAAGATCAAAAGAGACAAAGAAGGACATTACATAATGGTAAAAGGATCAATCCAACAGGAAGAGCTAACCTAAATATATATGTCCCCCAACACAGGAGCACACAGATACATAAGGCAAGTTCTTAATGACCTAAAACGAGATTTAGAGTCCCACACAATAATAGTGGGAGACTTCAATACTCCACTGTCAATATTAGGCAGATCAACGGGACAGAAAATTAACAAGAATATCCAGGACATGAATGCAGAGCTGGACCAAGTGGATCTAATAGACATATACAGAACACTCCATCCCAAATCCACAGAATATACATTTTTCTCAGCACCACATTACACTTACTCTAAAATTGACCGCATCATTGGAAACATCACTCCTCAGCAAATGCAAAAGAACAAAAATCATAACAGTCTATCAGACAACAATGCAATCAGACTAGAACTCAGGATCAAGAAACACACTCAAACCCACACAGCCACTTGGAAACTGAACAACTTGCTTCTGAATGTTGACTAGATAAACAATGAAATGAAGGCAGAAATAAAGCTGTTCTTGGAAACCAACCAGAATGAAGACACAACTTACCAGAATCTCTGGGACATCTTTAAAGCAGTATTGAGAGGGAAATTTATAGCAATAAATGCCCTCCAGAGAAGCGAGAGAAAAATCTAAATTGATGCCCTATCATCAAAATTGAAAGAAATAGAGGAGCAAGATCAAAAAAACTCAAAAGCTAGCAGAAGACAAGAGATAACTAAGATCAGAGCAGAACTGAAGGAGCTAGAGACACCAAAAACCCTTCAAAATATCAATAAATCTAGGAGCTGGTTTTTTGAAAAGATCAACAAAATAGACAGACTGCTACCCAGATTAATAAAAAAGAAAAGAGAGAAGAATCAAATAGATGCAACAAAAAACGATAAAGGATCACCGCTGATCCCACAGAAATACAAATTACCATCAGAGATTACTGCAAACAGCTCTACTAACATAAACCAGTAAACCAGAAAGAAATGAATAAATTCCTAGATACAAGCAGATCACATAATGTGCTATCTCTACTTCAAAGCTTCAAAGATTTTCTTGGCCCTTTACCAACCAGCAACTGTGGCTAGAAGGGTGAAACCTTCCGTCTCTTCTCACCTCAGACAATAGGCTGAATCAAGCTAATTTTGAATTAGCCAGCAAACACTTAGGTACTTGTGTTAGTCAGGGTTCTCCAGAGAAACAGGACCAATAGTATATATAGATTTATAAGAGGATACTTATGGGAATTGGCCTGCACAATTATGGAGGCCAAGAAGTGCCACAATATACTATCTGCAAATTGGAGATCCAAGAAAGTCAGTGGTAAATTCAGTCTGAGTCCAGAGGTCCAAGAACCAGGAACCTGAGTGTCTAGAACAGGAGAAGAATTTCCCAGCTCAACTATCTGGGCCCCCATGGCTTGGCTGATGCCTCCCCTCATTGGTATGGGCTGTCTTCTTTACTCAGTCTGCTGATTCAAATGCTAATCTCTTCCAGAAACATCCTCACAGACACACCTAGATATACTGTTTTTACCAACTATCTGGGCATCCTTTAACCAGGTCAAGCTGACATATTAAGTAAACCATCATAGTATTGGAGAGGACAGCCAGCCCCTTCTTGAGCCTGTTACCAGCTCCATCTGTACCTGGCCCCACTTTCAGAGCCTGGATATCAGCCTTGGAACCCTCAGTAGTCCTGGCTAAGACTAGGCCACTCCTAGGGGAACCTCCCGTGAAACCAGAAGACATCAGTGACCATCAGAACACAGCATGGTACCAAATGAAGACTGTTAACCCCATCAACCCTTTTCCTAGCACTGACTTTGCCTTCACTCAGTCCCCTTCCAGCTCTTAGATGTCAGTCGTAGAACCCTTGGGCAAACCTAGCTCAATTTTGGCCCACTGTGGTAGAACTGTCCTGGATCCAGAAGGTATTAGAGATGGTAGCAATTAGGTATGTGGCCAGGGTAGCCTCCTAACACTCCTGTCTGCTTCGAGACAGCTGCTTGTTAGCCCTCATTCCCTCACTTTCAATATCTGTATTCCTGGCTGGGAAGCCCCAAAAAAGTTCGGAGCAGCCTTCGTTCATACGGGCATGTTCCCAGTGGGGCAACAGAGCCTGGGATCATGGGGACCTTCCTAGTACACCTAGTACTAAGTGTGCCTAGCAGATACATCAGTACCTCCTGAGCCAGCTACTGTATCTTGGTCCATTCCGAGCCTTGGGTATCAGGCCTGAAAGCCCTGGGTAAACCTGTCAGGGTTGGATGCTCTTGGGGGAACACTTTGGAGTCAAGAAGTCCTGGCCTAGCTAAGCCTGGAAACAAGTTCTAAGGGCTGTCAGTCAATTCCACCCACATTCCTCCCAGCAAGCCGCTGGCTGGGGTCAAAAGCCTTACTGAATCAACCCTCTTAGATCCCAGAAGCCACTGTGGCTTACCTGAACAGAGTCTTCAAGACTGGCAGAGCCTCCAAACTCATTTACCCCATGAGCCAACCACTGGCATCTCATCTCCTAACTCAGACTCTAGATGCCAGGTTCTTGGGCCCCAGAGAGGCTGAGAGCAGGATTAGGTTCCCCTGAGTACATTGAGTGTGACTCTTAATGGCAAGACATTTTGATCCTAGATAGCCTGGTGGTGAGGGAAACCTCCCAACCCACCCATACCCCTTGAATCAGATATTATTTCTGACAGCACCCAGGCACAATCTAGGGTCTGGATCTTTATCCTGGAAGTTCTAGGCAGATGTTAACTATGGCTCAGCCACTCTAGGAGAATCTCTCTGGATCCAGAGGCACTGTATTTACCCCAACATGGCCTTGAGGGTAGGGGGAGCTTTCTAACCCTCTGCCTGACACCCCCACGCCCCCAACACACACACACACACACACACACACACACACACACACACACACACACCCTACCTACCTACCTACCTACCACACTGCCTGCAAGAGGCTCCCAGCTCCACTTTCACCTGAACTTTTCCACAGCCTGAGCCTCAGGTCTGGAACCCCTGGAAAGCTCTGTCGGGGCTGCCCCTGGGAGAACCTTTGTGGGCCCAAAAGGCACTGTGAACTACCCTAACAAATAGTTTTCATCAAACTTACCAGTAATAGGCAGTAAGACAAATGAGCACATTAACCACAAGGTTAATAAATGTATCTCCTACATAGTTAAAAAAAAAAA